AAGCTGAGCTCTGCAGGGGAGCCCCTGGGCACAGGGATGAAATGCAGCCCCCTCTGGGTTGGGCTGTGTTGGATCCCAGGGATCCAGGGCTGGGTGGCTCTGGGAAGGAATGGGGTGAATCCCAGCAGGAAAAGGCCCCTCTTTGTGTTTGGCTGCAGCTCCTGGAGGTGAAGTGCAGTGGAGCTGGAATCCCTTTGCCTTGGAAAAGCCTTCCTTCACTGGGATTGAAACCAGTAGCTGGTGATGAAGACCTCCATATGCTGTTGCCCTCCTGTCTGTGCTCATGGTGCAGAGCTGTTGGGGCCTTTCTCCCAGCCTGCATCCAGAGCAGGGCAGCAGCTCTGCCCCTGCCACACAGAAAACCTGTGGTTTCAGATTTCTGTAGCCACTGTGGCAAGAATCTCTATTTCCCCCTCTGCAGACAAGTGCTGTTACTGCTGCTGTGCTTCCTAGGAGAGGTGCAAGCCAAAAGACAAAAAAAGGAATCAGATCAGCAAAAACCCTATAATTTTTCCTGGCTCAAGCATGCAAAAACACACAAGAGTTTTTACTTTTCTTTTCTGGAAAGTCTGTTCTGTACCTCAGGCAGTGTCAGCCCAGCACTGCTGCCTGGGGCACCCTGCTGCCTCTTCTTCCTGGAGCCTCCAGAAGTGTTTGCCATGGAAACTCGTCAGAGCATCTGGGCTGTGCAGGTGGCCTCTCGGGCTCCTTGCTGCTCTGGCAGCTGGCAAAGGGCTCAGGGAGCAATGGGCTGTGTTGTATCTCACAAGCCATCTCTGTCCCTCAGTCACTTGTCCTCTCTGCAGTGATTTCTGTGCCTGGCTGTGCTGCTCACCCTGCCCTGCCTCCCCCCGGGCACTGCCAGGCTTCAGCCTCCAGAACTGCCAGGGACAGCACCTTCGGATGCCAGGGCAAAGCATGTGGAGTTTGTGGAGATCAGAAAGGGGGAACTGTTTCCCCTGGAAGATGTGCTTGGGAAGGAGAGGACTCAGGTGATCCGGGAAAGGCTCTGGAGTCAGGAGAGGAGAAGATAAACAGGAACAATTATTTTGTGTTCACAGTGCAGAAGACCAGGCATTATCCAATGAAGTGATGCTTTTAGCAGGTTTTAACAAAGCAAAGAAAGTACTTTTGTTTTTTGTTTTTTGGTAAAACATGTGAATTGTGGAGCTTGTTGCTGGGGGCTCCTGTGAGTCCCAGGGAGGCTCAGGGAGGGATGGATGCTGCTCTGGAAGGTGGATCTGTTGGTGGCTGTTACATGTGATGCAGTCTCTGGCTCTGAAGATCCTCTGTTGCTGGCTGCCAGGAGCTGGGAAGTGGGTTGGGAAGGATTGCTGGGAGCTCTGCTTGTGCATCTCCCTGCTCACCTGGTACTGAGCAGAGCTGGGGCTGGGATGTGGGGCAGGACAGGGCAGATGCTCAATCCCTCCTGCACTGCTCAGGCCTCTTAGTAGCCACTGAGAAGGCTCCTGTGCAGGCTCTGGATGAAAATACAACTGTGCCCAAGCTGCCCTTTCCTTAGCATCTCTGAAGCTTCAGTCACCCACAACAGTTTTAGCTTTTACTGTGACTTACAGACCTGGAGTTTCCTTTCCAGCAGAGCACTGTGGCTCTCCCAGCCTGCACACAGGCTCCTCTGCACAGACACTTCTCCCCGTCTGCGGATGCTTTTCCCATTACTGCCCTGGCTGGGCTCCACGCACCAAAAGGGCTGGGGAAGGCACAAGCCAGCACTTCTCCCCCCTTCCCTTTTCCTCCCTTTTTTGTGAAATGCAGGCAGAGCGGGCCCACAAATGACATAATGAGAGCATGACATCAGGCTTGGCAGGCGGAGACGCTCTATACTCTGCTCAGCGTTGTATGTTCTGTGGAATGGAGGAGAAACCAGCAGTGTACCAAAAAAAACCTGCCCACCACAGGGCTGCAGAAATAACCCCCTGGCTGTCCCGGGGTGGCTGTGGGGCCCTGGGGCCCCCCCAGCATCACGGGGGGACCAAGCAGTCCTGCTGCTCACTGCCACTGGGGCAGGCAGGGCTCGGGGCTCTTGGCCCCCAGCAGCTCCCCAGCCCCACTGCAGGTCTCACTGGGGCTGTTTGCCTGGCCCTCTGGGGCCGGGGGCTGCAGCCAGCCCCGTGGGACCCCCAGCTCTGGGGGCTTCAGGGCACACCCAGCATCATGCAGCAGCTGGGATGGAGCTGAAGGCTCCCAAGGCTCAGGCTGATGCCCTGGTTACCAAATGTTCCTTTATCTGAGGCTTCACCTTCCCCACACAACCAGCTCCACTTCTGGATTCCTTAAATCTTCCTCTGCTAAGCACGTGAGGTAGATGTGAGTGTTTGCTGGAGCTGCAAGGGGAGCTCTCCCTGAGGCATCATTTGCACAGTTCTCGTTCTGTACCAGAATTGTTGGTGGGTTTTGGTGCCCCTTGTCCCTTGGGTTGTGCAGAGAAGCAGACCAGCCCCACCAGCCTCCTCTGGGCTCCGTTGTACAGACGTGGAAACAGGCAGGATCCAGATGTTGTGACTTGCCCACAGCTGCCCTCTGCCATGCAGAGTGTTTTCACTATCCCTGGTGGCACAAGTAAACCCCATTTTTGCTTTCTCCTGGTGGAGCAGGGGCCGCCTGCCTGGGCCGTGCACTTCAATGGGGAGCCTTGTTTTCTGCTGGCTCCAGCTCTGCTCTGAACCTGCTCCCAGTTTCCTCCAGCCTGGCAGTGGCTGGGAAATCACAGTCGTGGCAGTTGTGGCACCGAGAGGCTGAGCTCTGTCCCTCAGCCTTTGCCTCGGGTTTCATTGCTCAGGGTTTCCTGACTTATTTTTTCCCCTGCAGCTGAGCTCTGGTCACAGCCATCTCTCCTGTGCCAGGAAGGCATAATATGATTTTCCATGGAAGCTGGAGAGGGACCAGTGGGAGCAGGCAGCAGGCAGCTGGGAGCCCAGCTCACTGTCTCCTGGTGGAGCAGGGGCCGCCTGCCTGGGCCGTGCACTTCAATGGGGAGCCTTGTTTTCTGCTGGCTCCAGCTCTGCTCTGAACCTGCTCCCAGTTTCCTCCAGCCTGGCAGTGGCTGGGAAATCACAGTCGTGGCAGTTGTGGCACCGAGAGGCTGAGCTCTGTCCCTCAGCCTTTGCCTCGGGTTTCATTGCTCAGGGTTTCCTGACTTATTTTTTCCCCTGCAGCTGAGCTCTGGTCACAGCCATCTCTCCCGTGCCAGGAAGGCATAATATGATTTTCCATGGAAGATGGAGAGGGACCAGTGGGAGCAGGCAGCAGGCAGCTGGGAGCCCAGCTCACTGTCTCATGGCTGGAGGTGGCAGGCACTGGCATTCACCACCATTCCTTGCTTCCCCAAACTGTCCCACCAGCAGGAGCTCTGCTCCCCTTGCAGGCTCTGCACCCCCCGAGGGGGCTGAGGAGGGTGAGATCTGGGAGGTTTTATACTGGTTCCTCATCGGGTCATGAAGCCAAGAGTAGCAAATGGCAAGGGGATAGGGCTGTGGTTTGTAGGTAACAGTTGGTTGCCATCTAGTGCTGGTCTGGATGGAGGACAGCAGGTTCTCTGCAGGTGCTGGATGGGGGCTCAGCCTGTGGAAAAGGATCCAGAATGAGAGCCAAGGTCCTGTGATCCCTTGGAAAGCGTGGGAGTTGTAGCTAAGTGACAAAGGATGAGAGTATAGACAGAGCCTGGGTTAATTAAGTTCTCCAAGGGTTAAAGCATCTGGCAGCCTCTGAAGCAGCCTTGCCTGGGATCTGAGCCCCATTTCTCCTTTGAAGCCCACTGGTGGAGCTTCTCTGCTTGCTGGGCTGTGGGTCAGCGTCGGCTTTGGGTGGCAGTAGTGGGTGCAGGTGAGATGGGGGAGCACAGATGGGAATATCTGGCAGCACCAGCTTGGTGATGGTGTGTGCAGAATGGCAGCCAAGTTGTACCATCAGGAGAAGAAGAAGAAGGGGCAGGATCCCCCTCCAGCCCATCCACCGTGGTGCTGTGGAGGCTCTGATACCCCAGAGATGTGCACCCAGGTGGCCTGACACCCTCCCAGGCTGTCCTGGCCCTACAAACAGCACAGTCCCTTGGGCAAACCAGTGGGCTGAGGGTTGTCACTTAATAGTTTCTAGGGGACTTCTCCCCCTGGCCCTTCCTGGACAAAACCCACTGGCTGCAGCCTCAGCCCCAGCAATCCTGCAGCCCTTGGGTCCACGCTGTGACCAGGAGCTCCTTCCTGGAGTGAGCAGCTCAGTGGGCAGTGACATCTAGTGTCAGTACAACACGCTGTGTAAAAGCAGCACTGAGAGTGGAATTACTGCCTGTGTTTGATTTATTGTTTGCATTTTACCTCTTTGCTGAGCCTCATGGGAGCAGCTCTGCCACTCTGCAGGAGTCCTGGAGAGGGAACTGGGTCACAGCCATTCCTGGTCCTGCTCTTGGGTAGGAATGAACTGACCCCTGGGAGTCAAGGATTTGGGGTCTTTGCCTTCACTTACCTGAAGTTTAAGAGCTTTCTCTGAGATGGAAGAGAAATAATGATAAGGGATGTTTGTAAAGGGCTGGGGAAGGCTCAGGACCAGCCCCACCAGCCCCTCCACGCCTGGCACTGTGGCAGAGGCACGGAGAAGAGCAGACCTGCCCTGTGTGACTTCTTCATTTCCTACTTGGGAAGCAGCAAGATGCAGAAGGAGCTGCTGAGGAGGTGGCTGTGCTTGGGGCTGGGTGTCCTGGTGCCCCTCCTGGTCCTGCCATCTGTGGTGGTGAGAGCTTCACCCTGCCCTGTGTGCTTGCTCCTCCTTGCAGCACCTTTGGAGAAGCTCTTTGAAATGGCAAAGCCCTGATTTTGTTGCAGCAGAATGGTTGGGTTTGGAGGTGTCTCTTGTTTGGGTGAGGAGCAAGAAGGTGTCAGGGCTGAAACCATTTCCTTCTGTCTTGGGCTTGAGGTGCTGCCTAAACCCTAAATGGGTTATTTCCAGGGATTTCAAAGAAGAGAAGTAGCTTTACTGGTCTCACCATAATGTTGGTGGTCTGGTCCTTTCCAAAACTGGTCAAGTAATGGAAGGGGGTGCAGAGGAGTACAATTTCTAGCAAATACTTGAGGAGAGATGGAGCAGGAAGGATCCCACTTGGCTGGTAGCAGCTGAGGTTCCAGTTTGGGCTGGTCTGTGTGTTTGTCTTGCAAGTGGGAGCTGGAAATGGGCTTGGAGGTGACTTTTGTGTCTCCTGTGCAAAGTGTGACTCCAGTGTGGTCTGTAGCCCTTCAGCAAATGTGTTTTTGAACTAATGTTCCAGATACCCCAAGACAAAACGTCATTGGCTGGATCAAATATTTTGCTAGCATCTCTTTTTAAAGTGTATTAGTTGAGCTTTTATTTTGCACATTTCTTGGACTTGTTTATTGATGTTTTTGGTGAACTCTTCTGAATCCACTCTCAGCTTGGCAGAGAACTCCTGGACAGCAAAATCAGGGAAAATAAACCTTTTAAAGAAACATCCATCCCTGTTACTTATCCCCAGAGTTTCCTGGAATCATGGTAATTTTCTTGCCAGTTTGACAGAATTCTTTTCATTTGGATAAATTCAATTTAAATGCCAAATCGAGCCAAGAAGTGATGGATGAGGGGATCAAAACAAGAGGTGAGACAACAAGGAGAAATTAGGGAAGGTGCTTGTGGAAAAAAGGTGAGAAAGGGGGTGGGCAGAGAATGTTGCAGCTGGGGCTGCAGGGAGAGCAGCCCTGTCCTCCCTGGAGGGCTCTGCCAGAAATCCTTGAAGGGTGAGAACCATTGCATGGGCTTGGAGTTGGTGTTTGGATGCTGCTAGAATGAGGTTTTGGCCGAAGGAGATTCCTCTGATACCAAAGAGTGAAGTTTATTGGGAATGAGTGGAGAGAGATCAGTGCAACTTGTGCTTCTGAGCTGAATGACATTTTAACATTGCAAAGAGGACATGGGGGGAGAGGAGGGCTGGGCTGGAGGGCAGAGCAGCTTTGCTTTGGACCAGTTGAAGGCTGTTGATGTTACAGGGAGTGATAAAGGACCTTCTAAAACAATGTTCCTTTTAGAAGGACGATCTAACCTGATTTCAAACAGAAACTATTCTTTCCTACTTCTTCTTTCCTTTCAAGCTTTTCCAAAGAGACTAAACGATCTTTAAAATGCAGCAGTTGAGCACATCAATTGTGTGATTAATGATCAGTTCTTTGCCACTAGGAATGGATCTGGAAGTTCCTCATAATTTTTTTTTCTCTAAGTTAATTACCACTTCAGTCTTAAATTCTTCCTTAATTACTTCTTTGAACATGTACTAGTCCTGAATACTTTTTAATAAGGGTATGTCAAATTTAGCAATACATTTGTCATGTCAGGAATGACTCTAGAGAGGCTGCAGAACGGTCTGTGTCTAATGATGGTCCTCATCAGCCTCTGCACATCACACAAAGCTTTGAGCAGCAAATGCTTTCTAGCTGGGAAAGGTGTTTTCTTTGGCTGGGAGAAATGCTCTGCTTTAACACACCAAACCTTCCAGTCTGGATGGAGGTTGGAGAGAGGCTTTTCTAAGGTCGAGCAATGGAGGAGTGACAGAATGAAGCTGGATGAAAGCTGAACATTGTGCTTTCTTTTTCTAGGGACCTTTCCCATAACGAGATTGGTGTTTTAGATGCTCAGATGTTGGAAAGCCTGACTTCTCTGGCAAAACTGTAAGTACATTCTGTGCTCTTCCACCCCCCAGCTCCCTGTGCATGTTTGTAAAGGTACCTGGAACACAAGCTTGGGAAACACCAGGTAGCCTTGATCTTGCTTGGCCTCATCTGCTGAGCCCCAGGGAGATGTGTCCATGGGCTCCTTCCTCAGGGCATTAAGTTGCACAGTCCAGGATTTCCCTCACTGGCATTCAGAGATTGGACAGGAAATTGGGCAGAAATTGGGCAGGATTTGATGCACTCGATGGAGAGGAGATCAGGGCAAGAGAATGAGATTTGTCACAAGGTGTGTGTGAGGAAATGGAAAGTCACAATAAAGCTGCAGTGTCCAAATCCCAGTTAATCTTCAGGACAATTTGGGTACTGAGTCTGGGGTTCTTTGAGAAGGCCAGGACTAGCCAGGCAAAGTGTCCCCCAGTGTCCCAGAGGGAACAGGCTGCCCAGAGAGACTGTGGAGCCCCCATCCCTGGAGATACTCAAAAACAGTCTGAACATGGTTCTGGGCAGACTCTGCTTGAGCAGAGCAGGTGGGCCAGATGATTCCAGGGGTCCCTTCCAACCCCAACCTCTCTGTGGTTCCATGACTTAGGGCCTGGGTGGACATTTTGCTGTCATATGCATGTGGCTGTCAAGACTCAAGGTGCTCAGAGGGCAACTAGTACCCAAGCAGAGGCTGATCCTGTGTGTTGGCCAGGAAGTTGTTGTCCACATCATAAACTTTCCTTTTTGTTTTCCCTCTTTTACAGAGATATAAGCCACAACAAGATTTCTACATTAGAAGATGGACTATTTGATAATTTATTTAATTTAAGTGAAATGTAAGTTCATCATCTTTGTTTCCCAGTTCTATATTTAGACCTTTCCTTGAAGCAGCTTGTCCCTTCCCAGTGGGGTGGGATGCAGGGCTGTTTTGGGGAGACCTGGGGTATGTACCAAACCAAGCAGCTGCCTTTTGGGCTGCCTCCAGTTTCTTCCTCAAGTTGTGTCCTGCTCTTTGGTCCTGCTGGTGTCCTTCAGGCCTAACCTCTTCCCAGACTTTGCTTCTGTGTCCTGGAAACCTCCAATCTCTGCCACTACCTGCCTGGCTTCCCTGATCTCTCACACCAGCTCTGCTGAGGTTCTTGTCCCTGGCCATGCTCCAGGTCACACTTCCTGGTCCTGGTTGTATGTCACACCTTGGGACTGGAGGATCTGATGCAAAGAGCACTGACCTGCAACATGGGAGACCCTGACTGAGTGTCTAAGTCTTTTGAAGACACTGGAAGTTGTTCTCCCCAGATGATTCAGGCTCTAAGGCTATGACTGGTTTTCAATTGAAGCAATTGTGTGAAAGGCAGGAGGGGATGCCACACATTTGCAGGGGAGACACAAGAAGTGCCAGCACAGGGTGGCCATGGTCTGAGAGAGTCAAAGGATTCACCCTGTGCAGTTGCTCTTGGCCAGCAAGAAGAAAGCTCAACCCCCCCTTCTCCCTGCAGGCAGGACACAAAGGGCATTTCCAGCTCTGCTTTTTTCCTTACAAGTGGCACCCAAAAGACAGAAGGATCCAGGCGAGGTCAGGGGAGCCCATCCCTGCTGAGGCTGATGGGCAAAGTGGTGCTTTCAGGATGAGCATCTTGGGCCCAGCCCCTGTGGCTGCCCAGCCCTGCTGGCATCAGTAGAACAAGCAGCTTTCCATCCCTGCCCTCCGCTCAGCTGGCTGCCAAAGGCTGCCACGTGGATCAAGCTTAGCTGCAATTAAAGTTTCCATCATTTCATTAAGCTGCCATATGGAAAGATTAGCATTGACTTTGCATTTCTTTTTTGACAGATCCATTTTATTCTCTTAGCTCTCCTTTAGTGGAGCTGTAATTAGTGCCCGTAGCTGGCGAGGCGGTTGGGTGGGAGGCGGCTGCAGGGTGAGATTGTGCCTGGCGTTTGCTTCTAATTGCAACAATTATTTGTAGAGGGGGAAAAAAAAAAAAAAGGTACTTGCAGTACTTGCCTAATTCTGGCCTCTAGAAAAATGGTGTTAATTATTGCTTGATTCCCTATTCATTAGCTCCCCTGGCAGTTGGTTCCGCAGCGTTTGGCTGCGGCGGCGCAGGGAGGGACCTGCTGCTGCTGCCGGGATCACGAGGCACGTGCCACCTTCATCCCTGGCCTTTGTCTCATCTCCCCCTTCCAGAAACTTAAGTTGGAACCCGTTTGTTTGTGACTGCAAGCTTTCCTGGCTGCCCCGCTGGGTGGAAGAGAGGAGAGTGAGGGTTGCTGCGGCGTGGGACACGCGGTGTGCCCACCCCCCCGCGCTGGCAAACCTCTCCCTCTTCGAGGTCTCCTTCCTCAATGCTACTTGTGGTAAGGAAACGCTGTGGGCTGTGGTGGGGGAGAGGAACCAGTGGAAACTGTGGGCCTGAGGGCAGCTGGGGATCTGATCTCCATCTCTTCAGACCTCGAGTCACCAGTTCTAATCTAATTAAGCAAATAATGGCAGTGTGTGACTGTGCTCTGGTGCCAGAAGGGTTGAGCTGGTCACACCAGGGGCTGAGATCAGCAAACTGCAGACCAAGATTCAGGAAGCCATCAGATGACACCAGTCTTAGTCTTTCTTTCTCTCAAGCTTTTAAGAGTCTGACTTTAAGCAGTGAAATCTCATTGGAGTTGATAGGACCTGAGGATCTGCTAAGCTGAACCTTTGCAGGTGACAGGGCTCCACGTCAGGAGTGTTGGATGAACTTCCAGCCCATCACCTGCTCTGGGTGCATTTTTCTGCCTGTCTTGGCTAGCAGAACCCTTGGGCAATGTTCAGCTGGAGGGTGGGAAGGGAGAGCCCTAAGAAAACTAATCCTTCCTTGATGCTCCACCATCTCTGAGCAAGAGAGGGGAAGAGTGCTCCCCACCTCAGGCATTGGGCATCTCTAATCCATGACAGGAGGATGGTGAAGGAAGCAGAGCTGGTGAGATCCAAGCTGAGCCCTGGGTCTCCCCAGAGCCAAGATTAGTGCTGCTTGCTCCTCTTTCCCCAGCAAGGCCACCCCAGGCTTGCAGCACCTTGCGGGAATTACCAAGAGGAATAACCCCAGCACTGGTATTCCCCTTGGTATTTAGTTGTTTCCCTCTTCAACTCCTTTGATTTAGTTTGGAAACAATGTTGTGGGGTTGTCTCCTGGACAGTCAGTGTGATGGGAGGAGGCTGGGGACAGCCTGCCAGCTGCTGACG